AAGAAAAGACAACCTGCTCAGAAAATATGGTTAAGTAAAGTAGAACAGTGCAATATAAATGTAGCATAGTAACGGCCTTCAAACGGACTATCCTACAGTTCAGCACTTTCTTCAACAAAGTGAACGGTAAATGAAGGTCTGATGATGCATTTTACTATCTACACCTTAAATGAAGGATTCAGACCTACAGATACCAAATATTACTGTGATCATTCAAAGGAAGCCTTCATGGTAAGACATATCATAAAACGTATCAGGCAGTCTTCTTCACAGTTTGTTGTTTTTGTTTTTTTTTAAATGATACCACACCCAGGTAAGACCACGGTTAAACAGAATTGTTGATGACAGTAAAACAACAGCAAACACTATTGGCAACCTCTACTTCAATTTTTCTCCAATCATTTCTTCCAAAGCTTTAAAATGTTGTACATTTTTACCCTACTCATACACCACTCTTTTATGGAGTTCTACAAAAAAAAGTCTTTCTGAATATGAACTCCATCTGTCTGTTTGGGTAACACCACAATAAGCCTGTAACATTTATAATTTAATTGAAAAGGGATTTTTAACCAGACTGACTTTCCTCTGTTCAGTCAGACTGCTGATGCCTCCTGCCCCTGCTTTCCACCTCACTGGGCTTTTTCTCTCCCCTTATAGATTTGTGCACAGTTTACTGTCCTCCCATTTCTTCACCAATATATGAATATATATTAATATACGAAATTTGCAAGAGGGCTGAAAACATCTCACCTTATTAAATGTGAACTAGATAATAACATGAACATCCTCCAAGAAGTATGTGGTTTCCGTACCACACATTGGTCTTTACGACAATCTGGATAGGCTGACATTCATCATGTTTTCCAGTCACAAGTCCTGGTTTCCTTGCTCCAGGACAAGTTTGGCTCCTCTCCTACCTGAGTCTTAATTTCCTCACCACACTGCAAGTAAGCTTGTACATATCTAGAAAAGGCTGTGATCTGGCATTCTAATACCCTAGCTATAGCTGATCCACTGAGTTTGCTCTCTTTCATAGTCCCTTACTTTCCCAATATCCTCCACTTGATTTTTATGGAGCAACAGAGTGAACTCATAAAGTACTTTTTCCTTAACAGATTCCAAATGCTTTCCCCCAACAGTTTGTGGCAAGAAAACACTAAGGAACCGAATGTCCATTCCATAATGTTTCCTCGCATTTTTTTTTCTCCCCAAAAAGTATCCATCTTCCCTGCATTTTTTGCCATGAGGGCTGCCTACCTCTTTAATAATTGGGGGAGGGGGATGAAGAAGGTGAAATCTAAACTTCATTCTCTCCTGTCTTTAATATGCTATCTCTGCCAAACCCTAGAGGAGTATTATCTCCTCATCTGTCCCCTACAATTTTAATTACCTCATTCCTTAGCTGAGGAGAGGAAAGACTTCATCTACTACTTGCCTTAGCCTCCCGCATGTCTCCTCCCTGATATGACTATTCCAGCAGCAAGATGCCTACACTTTTAAAAAGGTGAATGGTTATACTGACACAGTAAATGTATTTTGTACTTCATTAAGTTGTTCCTTTGATTTTGGAATAGATGGGAGTTTGGCGTTTGACAGTCACAGTTAGCATGTCTCTTCTAGCAAGATGTTAGTTTTTAACCAGGAAGTCTTCACAAGAGACACATCAACTGTCCTGTACCTCTTGAGCTTTGTGCTCATACACAAATAGTCCTTCTTGTAAACCATTCCTTACCTCTTTCCCAGTGTGGGTGGAGAGTTCACTGGGCATTCTTCCACTGCTCATTTGGAGGAAGAAAACCATCACTGGAATTAATCACGTCTTTTGTCTCTTGCTGTGTTTCTGGCCCTCTTATTTACAAATTTCAGGACGCCTCTTTCAAATCCCTGGTTCCTTCTGAAGTTCCCCTGTACCTAAGCACTATCAATTCTACCAGGTTTCAGTAATTCCTCTTCCGTTTTCCCTATTCCACTTTTCCCACTTTAGTAGAGTGTTCCTGATTTTGTTCTACCAGCCTTTGCTGTCTAGAAACTGTCTCATATGTTTGGGTGGGGGAAAAAAAAAGCAGCCCTGGCCAGCAACCCACCTTCACAGCTTCAAGAAGAAGGGAAATGCTGCATATCTCAGCTCCCAAAGCTCTCAATTATCTCCAGGAGGGTTTGGCTAGTCCCCACTGTTGATTAAACTATGAAATGATTGGCTCCTTGTAGAGGATCTTACGCCACTCCCAATTGCTGCCATCTGTCTACTACCTCTCTAGTAGACTAGCCTCTGCCGCTTACACTAATATGTGAGTAGAACAATATTTTATTTCTACAGCATAAAAAAGTTGTCTGCATAAAAAAGTTGTATCGATCAAGAATGGAAAAAACAAAACAACAACGAAAAAACAATTTAAGTAACTAAGTTGACAGACACCCTAATGTAGGCAATGTTATACCCAGAGGAAAATCATTTACCGTTACTGTTTATTTCTCCTTGAGTACTGGCTTAAGCTTTACCAACTCCGGCCATTAAAGCATCGCCTCCTTTAGCTATATAGGCAACCCTTTCCAAAAGGCGATGAGTTCTGTATTCTGTGCCTCCACAGATATTTAGTGCTGCTACTCATTCTTCCTGGAGGAAGAACTTTCTGAACTGACATATGCATAGCTCCACAAGCAATTTTCTTTCCTTACTAGAAGGGATTTTTTTTAATTGTTAGTAATTTCCTCACCACTTGTGAAAAGGTAGCTTCCCTTTTCCACCAACTACATCTGAGCCAATTGAACTAAGCGTATGTCTAGACAAAGATAAACTCTGTTTTAAAATAAAGAATTTAGATAATATACCTGTACTTTTAAAATTCTAGCGTGGACTAAGAGAGCTATACTTTTTGCACATCAGGAAGGCAAGGTGAACCCTGTGGCAGGTGTGTAGGTAAAAAAAGTATTAGCTAACTTACTTTAAAAACATGTTCTAGTCTAGTCTTCACAGAGCTTAAAGGATGTGACAGCAGGCTGGGTTTCTGAGAAGTCAATCCCCATCCTTATTTCCCACTGTTTGAATCGGTTAGGTATTATTTCAGTTCTGTGACTATTTCATTTGTTAAGTGTGTTCTAACAAAGACAGCACAGATTTGTGTATTTAAAAAAAAAAATCTATAAATTTAATAGACAAGAGCAGAGATAATTTCAGCAGCTCAGGTAACACTGTTCCCTATCTAAAAAAGCTATGATTGTTCATGCATGAATAACCACAATTTTACTTTATTTGAGAAACATGATGATGAGTGTCATGCATTAAAGATTAGAATTTGACCCTATATGACCTCTCCCATCGTCAGCTATGTGCTAAGAATTTCATTCCTTTCTTTTAAAATATAAGAGAACAACAATCACCGTTTTTAAAATGCAAAGCAAATCGGGGATAAAAGAAAATTCTTTTTCAACCTGTAGAGAGATTAGTGACTTCTAACAAACTCATTCTCTGGGAGAAGATCACCTCGCAGACGCAATGGGAGAGAAGAACACTGAAAGTCTTCCCTAGAGTCACGCATATTGTTAAATCTGTATTTCTCTTCATATTTAACTTAATTGCCATAAATGGTGCTAATAACCCCTCCTTTCACTACTGAGAACATAGTCCAAGAAGAAACAGATGGCAACACTACAGACTGTGTTCATTTTCAGAACATTATCCTATATGTTTATGTTATTAGATTGATAGTCCTGCAGGCTACAGACTCTTGATTAATACAGATTTCAAACACTGTGAGTGGAGAGAGCCTTCCATCCTAGTTTGCCCAGCTCTTCTGCCCCAGCTTTGACCTGAGCTACACATCTATTCAAACCTTAGCATTTACTAAGACTTCCTGGATAGAACCTAGAGTATCATTTATAAGGATGCCTTTTTTATGACGCTCTAGATTCAAGGTCACTACATTGTTCCACAGAAGCTAGGCACAGGCCTTGTCCAAGACTAGCAAAAATATTGCATTCGTCGAGAATGCCACATCTGTTGCTGCTTCTCTCTCAAAGCAAAATGAAATACTACAGTTTTAAAAGACAGGTGCCATTCTTCCAGAATCCTGATCAGTACGTTAGTAAAGGATTCTTTTTTCTTTTTCTTTAAGAGTAGAAAGGAAAAACAGTATTTCACCATGTGCCCAGCAATGATGATATTACAAAGGATACCTTATTTGTACTTTCTACCTTATCTCTGATTGATTCTATCATCTATTATCATCATTAATCACTTTTTTTAATGGTAACATCTAAGCACCAGTCAACAATGAGACTCCACCACGCTACACAGTGTACAAATACAACATGACAGACAACCCTATGCCCAACAGAGCTTCGCAGACAAATGCCAGCAGTGAAACAAGAAAAAAAATAGTCAAGAAAGTCTTACTTTGTCAGTATTAATGACAACATTCTATACACGCAACTGCTTTTCTCTAGAGACATGTATATTTGACTCCCACCACCTCAACAACTCACATTTTCCTCTGACAATAAAATGTTACGGTACATGCACAGAAAAACCCATTTCCTCCTGCGTGTAAATTCCTCCACTTCCTGCCGAAAACAATCCAGGTACCGACAACGTGCAGGTTCTTGTTCCATACATCTTTTGATAGGACCCTTTGACAGTTGCCAGGCTCAACTACCAAAGGCTCAACTGACAGTTTTAGAGGACCTACATTAGCTATAAGCTCTCATGTGGCTTGACATTGACCTTCCTCTTCTTGACAAGCCAGAATCTGGATCAAGTCTTTGTTATTCTGAATATGATTCAGACTAACTAAAAAAAAAAAAATACATGCATACAAGGAGAACGGATGACCAGCATTCCAAAACTAAGGGCCACAGGTACTTAGTGGCACTATACTCTTTTACAGAACCTTATTTCCCTAAGTTACGTTCAGATAGACGCTTCTTTTCAAACTACAAAATGATGAGAACCACCCCCCGCTTATTTTAAAAAAAAAAAAAAAAGTGCACTGCACCAAACTTACAGCATCACTTTGAGGCTGTGAGATCACAACAGGCTGTCCTGAATCACACATCTCCCTTATATTAACATGCAGTGGAATATCTCCTATAATAAAAACATAAAGATACATTTAAGTGAAGATCTAATTTTTTTTATACGTATTTCATTAAGCTAACTCTGAAGTGACTGGAAATCCAGTTCAGGATATTCTTTGAATCACTTAATCTCAAAAAAATAGCATTTAAAATGAAAATTGGCTGCAGTACAGTTTCTACACAACCATAATCATTAATGCCAAACCTATTTTGGATGTTTTTATTCTTTGAATAGGAAGGACTATGCTTTGTACTCATTTATTACGACAGGGAGCTTGCTTTCTTGTCTGTTGAATACAGAGAAGAACATAGCTGAGATACAAACTATTCTCAGTACATAAAAAATATGTGCTTGAGTGTTAGGTAAATACTCATCATGCAACTTACTGTTTAGCTTATCTCTTCACTGTATATTCTTTTCAATGTTGCTTTAAGATTTTAATCACTATTAAAGATTTCTTTGTATACTTAATTTCCAAATAATAACATTTGTTATTATTTTCAGTAGGGCTCGGATCCATTTAAAGGTAGATAACTACTTAGCTCATTCATCTTTCCGATAGAAACCTTCCTTTGACTGTGCTTTTATAACGAGCAGGGAACTGTCAGAGAGGAAGTTTCTAAAGAAGAATCAATTAGTAACTCATCAGATTTTTTTTTTCCACTTCTGAAATATATTTTCTGAAATACAGTTTTGCAGCACTCAAGAAAACTGAGTTCCCACCGTTAGGTCATTGCAACATAGGTAATTATGAGGTGAATTAATAATAACCTATTTTCTTTTAATGGAAGATAAAACTGTATTTTACAGCATGGACAGATGTAGACAGAACAGACTACACTTTATAGTTCAATTTTGACTGATCTCAGAAGTTGCATCAGTTTAATTCATACATTATGACAATGATTATTTAACCTAAATCAAGCCCAGTATAGATTACTGCAGTTCAATATAGTCCGAAAAAGAAACATTTAAAAAAAAAAAAGCATAAAAATTGACATAACTTAGAAATAACAAAGTTAGTTAAAAAAAACACTCTAGGATTGAAAGCAAGCAGGAAAACAGATTAAAAGATAAGCAAATCACAGATAAAAACTGTGGCTCCATACTTAGTAAGCTCAATCATTGAAGAAATTCAACCACTTCGTAATTTAGGATGATTACAGTTCATTTCTTTCAAATTTAATCAGCACTTATTTTTTCAGTCCTGAATGAATTTCTTTAAGCATGAAAGTCTCTTCATTTATTCTTAAAAAAAGGAATTTTAAGTGGGTCCTTTGAAATTTTCTTAAATGTTTTCATCTTATTTTATCTCAAGTCTTTATCCTAAATGTTCTTTTTTAACAGAAAAATACTAACTCTATAAATCTCTCAGAAGTTAGCTCTTACAATTATTTTGTACCAAGACTAATCTTCATCTTTTTTCAAGGATGCTTTGTTAGTGAAAAACACTTCTCTGTCAGCTGAACAACAATCTCAGAGATTACAAAAAGAACGGCCCTGCTGCAAAATGGCAACCTTTCTCTTTTCCTCCTCAAACCTACAAAGTGTGCTGGCACTACAGGACCATACCAGAACTTGTGCAGGCAGCAGTGTAAGTTAGAAGAGAAAGCAAAAGGTACACTCAATTAAAGAAAAAAAAAAAACAAAGCTTTATAAATTAAGCAGAAAGAAACGGAATCTGTGCATCTTAAGTGATAAAAGTTTGAGGAAAAGGAAGTTTTTGCAGTGTTCTTCACTACAGAACATGATGGAAACTTGCCAGTCTCCCAGGCATAATTTTTTCTGATAATAACAATTACAGACTGCAATAGAAGGGTAAGTACTGAAAATAATTTGAACCTACTGTAGTAACTAAAAAAAGTCATTACTGGTGGTTCAATTAGTAAATAAAATTTTAAAAGTTAGGACGTTTAAGGGATGAGATGGGGAGTACAAAAATTGCGTTAGCATTATATATATATTAATGATATAGCTTCATTTGGACTACTGTGTTTAGTTCTGGTCATCCAGTTTCAAAAACAGAAGAAAGCAGAACAGAGGTGTTTCAGAGAAAGGGAGAGAAATAATCAGCAACACTAAAAAACTTTGTTATGAAATCTGGCACTCTTAGGGGAGATAGAAGTAAAAAGACAAGACAGTAAAATTATATGAGATAATGGACTACGTTCAGAAGGTATCCTGGAGACTCCTACAGTCAAATCATCTTCTGTCGTAAACAAAAAAACAAAAAAAATAAAAAGGAGGAATTCAGTAACATTAGAAGCGGCAAACTGTGAGCAAATAAAGGAAAACTACTTTTCTACCCTGCATATTGTTAGCCGGCAGAACCTGTCAGATGATATCATGGAAACCAAGACCTTGTCAGGATTCATAACAGGACTAGGTGCTTAGCTGAACAAATAGAATAGCCACAGTTGTTGCAAAATGTAAGCAAAATAAATTCCAAACTTTTCAAAAAAATATGCAATAAACTCTCAAAGCTTTTGGATACAATTCAATAGCATTAGGATAACGCTTCATCTAGAACAGATTAACATATCATCTGTAAGCAGTAATTTTCCCCATATGGTAGCATTGTGTAATAGTCACCCTTGGAAATAGGTGCATGCTAATCTGATCAAGTACTGTAATTCTAAATTTAACCCTTAGGGCATTATTCTTAATCTTCCGGCTGTCAGAAAAAGGCTAGGTTACAGAAAACTTCACTCCACTTGCCCTCATACACCTCATTCCTCCTTGCAAAACATGCAGATCTCTCAGACTACCCCTCATTAGATACTATCACGATCAGTTTTGTCCTTGTAAGGAACACTAAAGAACATTATGGAACCAGCACATCGTTTGTGCCCACGTATCTCAAGGCAGGTTTGATTCAACTGCTTGTGGAGGATTTGCCTCCCTCCACATAACCTACGGCTGTAGAAGCTCCCTTGGGCTCTGATCACATCTCATTATATCCAGAAGTCTAAAAGATAACCCACATGCATGTGTTCATGGGTTGCCTTGCTATGTTAAGTTTGTGTCAGACCTTGATATTTTTACGTTGATCTTTCTAGGTGAGCTTCCTGACTCATTTTAATGAATTAGCTGTAGAAAATCATTGAGATAATTATAGTAATACATGGAAACACATCATTAGCACGTGCAATTATCCCATTTACCAACTTAATTACGCTGTGCTACGTTTTATAATTTTTTTACTGATAGCACAGATTGAAATATGTCTTTTTAAAACAGCAAGAGATCAATGTATACTTTAGCTTATATGCATGCTAGATTATTTAATTATGGACAAATTTTTAAAAAATTGATAAGTTTTCTTTTAAAACAAAATATTTCGCAAAAAAATTTTGCAATCTAGTATATTCTTTTAATCTTAACATTTAATTATAACCATTACAGCCTAGTAAAAGTTAAAATGTGGGTAATCTACATCTAATGGAAAGTAATTAAAATAATTCCCCCAAACTACTTGCTTCCACGTGATAGTCAAGATTTCTTCATATGGGCATAAAACAACTGCTTTAGACAAATTGCTATGTTATTTCACATACATAACTACCCATTTCTTATAAATTAAGTAAATGAGAAAATTTCCATTGATATTAACATACACTAAGTTTTACAGGATCAAAAAGAACCCTTAGTTATTTGTAAGCATTATTAAGTGATAAGCAGTAAAATGAATTTCAGGTAATATGGCACATTGATACCAAAACATTTCATGTCCCATGTTATTTATAGTTCACAAAACATTTAAGATGTAATTCAAGAATCTTCTTATTCAGTCCACATTCCATGAATAAGCACGCAACAGCAATGAAGTTCAACAACTTAAGTTAGTGGTTCTACTGCATTTGAGCACTGTCTGAAAACACAGTAATTTAGGATTGTACAGTCCCATACTTCAGCTAAGCCTTTCTTCATGCATGACAAAATTTTTCTTCAAAAATATAGTCATCTCTATATCCTTACCTAAAATATCCAGTCCAAGGCTTTTCGCTAGATCTCTTACACCACCAGCTCCAAAAATGTGCGTCTCATGCTTACATTTAGGGCACTGGAAAACGCTCATATTTTGAACAAGTCCTAAAACCTGTTAAATTAAAAGGAGGAATATGTTCAAATCTGGAATTCAAGCATCAGCATTTTCATTTTTCATACCTGACAATGAAGAAGTATTCTTTCAAGTACTGCAAGCCTCAAAGATGAACAAACTTATTTGTAATAGAAAGCACCTCTTGCATAGATCTAACCTCACAACAACCCTTCCTGCCAGCCCGGAGAAATGTATTTCATCTTAGAACTCTGAGCACTGAAGAATTTGTGTTGTGTTTTACAGCATTGTAGTCTGCAGTGTCAGGAATCGCAAAATAAAAATCCACTGTTACAAGAAGTGATACAATCAGACATACGTTTAAAATATTTTGCAAGTTATCCTGCAGGGAAGAGTCTTCAAAAAGAATCAGATTCGCTATTCTTTCTGAAGAGCAGAGAGACATTTTGAAGATCAAACAACAGAAATAAGTATGTGAAACAAAGTGGTAAAACCCATGGGATAAGAGTCTAATGCATGCGTATTAGGTGCCTTTTTGTTGATGCCAGATGTTCAGCATCATCCTTGTAAAATATGTCCTGGAAAATTGCCAGATCATGCACACAAATCTCTTCTTTCATAAAGTACAATAATGCTAACATTAAAGTTAATCTCATTTTATTCACCTAGTAAACAAAACTATTCACTGAGGCAGAGCAGAATTTCTCAGAAGTGACGGAAACAGCATGCAAACACTATCAGTTGAAAGCTCCTACCAACAGGAGACTTCCTTTACGATGTTGTGTGTTGCACAATTTCACTTTAAGATCTGTATGTATCTTAATACGTCATATACATTATAGCTGAGTTTTAAAAATATGAGAATACATAATTTATGAGTATACATTTTAAAATATAAAAAGCTACTATATATCTTGTGGCCTTCTGTGCTTTTAAAAATGTCTCTGAGCGTTCTAGTTCTGTGCTTGAACAAGCTGGCCTAGTTAATAAAGAGTTACGTATCCACCATGTTAACAAAGCATATCTAAAAGGATAAGCCACTGTCCACTGCAACAACAAATAGTGAATTCTTTACTTACTGTAAAGTATCTAATTTTGGGACGAAAATACAGGCCTAACTGAAGAGTAGGAAGGCAGCAGTGCAAGCAGGTAAAATCATGTTATTTACAATATCCTAATGAATGAGTTTCCTTAGTATCAAAGCTAAAACTAATCCAAAAGTGGTCACCCTTTTTTTCCTATCCCACTGCTGTGTGCTTAACACTACCTTCTAAGAAGTCCTCCTTTACTTCTGAAAAGCTTTCAAAGGGTTTAAAGCAGGGCAAGAAGTGTTTATTGAACAGTAAAGACACTACCTCCTTTCAATGTAGCAACACAGAGTTTCCCCATTTCCCGCGGTCTCACAGGGACTGCCAAAGGAGCAAGACTACCTCTGTCTTTATTTACTAGACTATTACTACAGGTGAATTTTCTTGGCCAGTTCTTGACCTCGCACATCACATGCTAAGTGTGCAAGAGCACAAGGTACGGGGCAGGGAAGAGGGCTCTGTACAGCCATTTTGTGTGCTCTACTGTCGACCTCTGATACAGCGTTCATCAGGCTCTCTCCTCCGACTAAAGCAGAGAGTTTTCATTGCGCTGGTAAAGTGGAGAACAATGAAAAGGAGGCAGTACTACTTGCTAAGAGGAAAACAGTATTTCAGCTATAACTCACGAAACTATTGTCTGCAGCATTAAAAAAGAAAAAAGAGAGCGAGCAAGCGAGCGAACTTTACATGTATACTCTACATGAATTCACACATATTCAGATATCTTGGGTTATGAACTTTTTATTCTCCTAAAGGTAGTTGTACAACATTGATGATACAGCACACTCATAATCAAAGAAAAAGTGATGTAGCCTAATACCGTTTTGTGACTAGTTCAGGAATTTTACAGCTGTTTTATTAACCCTTTGATAACCTAAAGACTAAGAAGTCTGTCTGCCAAAGTTTCAATGCAAATACTGAGATATAGCTGATCCTCAATGCTACATCAGTTTTAGGTGTCTTATTCACTGCTCTTTTTTGCTTTCATTTCAACTAATCTTTCTAAGAGCAAATGGCCTTTCAGCACGAAACAACTGTTTTTATTTTTTCATCATTCCTATCTGTCAGTCAATGAATAGTAAATATTTATATATTATTTATTTATATATTTATTTTTATATATTTATAGTATTTATTTTTTAATGTATAAGTTATTCTTCTGGAATACGAACAGAATTTTTGCAATGTTAAACTTTCAATTATAAGCATCCAGTTTAATAAAGAATCTGTTCTATTTGTTTGGTTCCATTAGGGATATATGCCCAATTACTAACTAAAATATTATCAATAAACCAAAATGAAACCAATTATGCAGCAGGAACCCTTCAGGCTGCATGCAAGAACTGAATGAAATGAACTCTCAAGCAAATTATGGCAGCAAGGTGACAACAGCAGGAAAAAAGGGCATACATAAAGCAGCAAGCAAAGGAAAGGGGAGGAAAAACATAAGGGGAAAAAAATAAAGGAAAATAAGGAAATAACGCATTAACATTTATAAAAAATAATCAATTGCTAATCATGTCAGTTTTCATAGATACCGTAGGGAAGAAAAGTTACAGAAAGGATTCTGAAGAAGGTTAATTCAATAATTTTGCAAATATTTGTATGGCATTCCTCTCAAGAGGAAGGGATATCCTAGACAACTTAAAGAAGTGCTTTTTCAATTAACAGAGCAACAGAGATTCAATTTTCATATTACTGCAGGTTTAAGATTTCTCCTGGCTGGAATATGCTCTCTAAAATATCTAAGAGGAATCTATGTATAAATTTTGAAATAACATTAATAGATTTGATCAGCAGCAGCTCAAAGCAGGGACTTAAAATTTTGGGGGGCCTTTTGGAATTTGTAAGTTTGAAGTTTTTCCCCCAAACAAATTGGTCAACTCATTAATTCAAATAATGCATGAGTTAAAAAGCTATTACAACAAAAATAACAACATTAATATAAGCCTGAAAACAGTTAATTTTGTGCAAGTCATATATACCTTCAGTACTGAAATGTATTTGTTAATATGCTTATTTCTGCAGATATATACAGATAGGCGAAGTTTCACTACTATCTTCAAAGCCTTTAAATCTACAAACTGAAAGCAGTAAGTCTTGCTAATGAAGTCAATAATAGTTCTCACTCCCCTGTTAAAATAATAGCTCTGGAAAAGCTTCAAAGCAGCTATTGTAGTCTACACAAACTATCCCATATGTATGTATGAACCCCATTCCGCTCCTCAGTGAGGTCCTCTCTCTGTATGTTTCTTGGCAAACTTGGCTCAGTGATGACAATGAAAATTAGCGTGAATTAGTTGTGCTGTAATACAGGAGCTAACCTATATTACTACAGGAGAGGAGTTCAGTTCTAAAGCACTGAACTGAATTTCATTCAGTTAAGTAAGTTTTTTTTAAATGGTGAAAAGATGTCCATCAAGAAATAACAGAAAATGAAGAAACTGGCACCTCAACGTTCATTATGAATTATTTGCACACGCTGTGTTTCTGAATATTGATGCGTTCCTTATCCTCAATTAATGCTCTGGTTAAGCAACAAATTATGCTGAAATTCAAATATACTACCATTTTAGTTGAACAACATAAAGTGAGAGAATGAAAGGCCTCTGTCTTTGCAGAAAGAGAAAATTCTGAGAAATTCACTTAAATCATCCACTGTACTTAAAGAACCGATGGTCTTGAGGTCCGAATCAAACATGACGGGAACTGCAATCATCAGGATCACAGTTCCACAGCCTGCCACAGACCTTCTATGCAGCTACAAGTCAGTCACTTGATATTTCAGTGCTTCAGGTAAACGTGCATACTATAGTATTTCTTTCTCCCTACCCCTTTGTCCTATGACAAGCAAATTTTGGCTCTGAAGCCATAATCTTGGCAGGGCGCTCTAGATGCTGCAACAGTACTAACAAGTAAATACTCAAGTAAACAATTTTAGTACAGCTTAGAAGGAATTATACAGCTGTGTTTACATAAGCTGTTTTTTAAAAACCTGTGAAAGCTACAACATATCCTTCTGACTCAAGGAAACTACCAGAAGAGCTGCAGATTTAATCCAAACTAAAAGCCTGTATTTTTATTTCAGGGACGTGACTGATAATGTAGACCAAACCCAACTGAATTCAGTATCGATAGGTGAAAACATGTTTTTTTTTTCCTAAATAATCCAAGTTATTCCTGTTTTTTGGCGTCAACTGCCCAGCGCAAGCCGCTGGAATCCACCAAAAAAAAAAAAAAACCACCGAACAAAAATCAGCCAAATTCACATTTTGAGTGGGAACATCAAAAGTTCATGGTTATAGGTGTCAGTACGACACCGCAAAAATCACAAAATCCTTCCTTGCTAGGTGCACTCTGTTTCACAAACATAGTACTCTTCTTCTAATGGATATGTCCTAAGATTTAAACAAGACTTCTGCACTGCAGCGTTAGTTCCAAAGCTGACTCGCATTGGCAGCTTTTCATCAACTCCTTCAGTCATTCTACTTTAATTTCAGTTCAGTAAAGGACATAAAATGCTAAAGAGTGTGACTTTACCTTGGTGATACTACTTATGTCATTTGAGGGTCAGGTAATTAATGACTGCAAGGGCAGAAGGAAAGTGGCTTATTTATGTGTATGAGAGAGGTACTCTAGTTCACTACAATATAAGCAAGTATACTCAAAGATCAGGAGTCAACAACCTACAGACCATCAATTACACTGAAAAGTGGACTCCTGACAAATGCTTTTTTAAAAATTACGTTTAGTCAATTACATAGTCGCAACACACAATTTTAGCGTAGTCCTACAGATTCTACCTTTTTGAGTACCTATTTGATGTAAACAATTCTCAAGTTTGAAGCTGTTCATCACAAATTACCTAATCAAACTTTCCTTAGATCCTCAGATTTAGCTTGTATTTTAAAATGTAACACACTGGCAAGAACTGCTTTAACACGAAAGTAAATGACACATCTCTATTCACATACATACAAAGTGAGGGAAAAAAAACACTGAGGATATAAGATCTGATGACTGGTTCAAGTGCATTCAAATTCAGCATCTGACAAGACTACTTTGTTGTGAATTTTCATTCGATTAAGTTAAGATCGGAGAATTCCAATGAAACAAAACAGAAGATCTATATCTTATTTAAAATCTCATTTATCACTAGTCAAATTAATAGTAGCCAAACCTATCATAAAATGTATGCTTTTTCTAGAGGCTTTCTCTTCAGAGCATTGAACAACAAAAAAAAAGAAAAGAAATCTTGATAATTAGTCACTATATTAAAAGAAAATTCAGTGAAGTACTAACTTAAACAATTTTACATGAAGAAAAGAATTTTGTAGGCGCTTAGTAAATCTAAACATAAAACAAAATCAAAAAGATTACATATACTATACTTCTCTCATATACACACACATAAAATATATCTTTCCTCAATCTATTTCCTTTTTTAAGCTATTCTGTAAACCAAAAAAAAAAAAAAAGCAGTCACTTCAATGTTTCTGCTGCCTTTTTTTTTTTTTTTAAATAAAAAATACATCGGTTCCTAAAGAATTTTCCCTTTTTTAATAAGAGTAGGAATGACTTCCATACAGGTAATCAAAAATACATCTTTTTTAAAATGTCAGACCAAAGTACAGTGAATGCTTTTTTCTTTACTTAGTATTTAAAACAAGGAAGCATTCCGGCTTTTATTTTCTCATCAAATACACATTTCAAATGAAAAATGAATCTCTTCATGGACATACTCTGGAGTGCAATATTTAGTTACTTAGCAACTTGTAGTAACTGTCAAGGTTTCAAATCAAGCTAGTCATATTTTTCCCTAAAAATCCATTTAATTAATAGCCTAGTTAATATTTTTAAATGAATGCATTTTTGTTTATTATTCCTCTATTTCAAATCCTTTTACTTTATTCTTCAGTTTAAATCTAAAATGTTAATTCTAATACTTCAAAGAAAAATTCACACAAACATAAATAAAAAGTTTTCAGAATATTAATAGATACAAAATATGAAGTCAAAGATGTCACCTTGTTTAATATTTCCTCCTAATCCATATGAATTTTGTGGATTTCTAAACTTCGTTATTTCCCAGACAAACAAGCTATCATAAAAGCTGCAATTTTAATAAATAAAAAAAAATGAAGTGCTGTAGACAGCCTTCTACGTGGCCTGACATCCACAGACCCTTTTAAAGGGCAAAGTGACAATTATGTACGTGCAAACTCAAAATTTTCATATATATATATGATATCTGTATGTTTTGAGGCAGATATGTTTTTTCCACATTTCAAGAAATTTCAAGAACAACAGTATACAGAAATTTTACACATTTTGGAAAAATTCAGTTGGTATTTTTATATAGAGACTTACAGGTACATGGACTTTTTTAAACATTTCAGCTCCTTTGCGTGCATCTAACAAAGCAATGTCTTGTGGAGTGGAGACGATCACAGCCCCTGGGAAAAGAAAACATGAAATACCATTAAAATAAATGTGAATTATACTGCTAAACATTCTGGCTATTTAGGACACGCTACTTCATGATAATATGAAAATAAAGTTGCAAAAGTTTGTACACTTTTTTTTAAATTACAGAAATAAAATGTTGCTAGTTTTTGATTATGCAGTGATTAGAACCACTGAGATATGATATGGACAGATAGAAATATCTTTTAGGTATTTTCATCCCATATTTTTCTATGTAGAAATCATTTATATTTTGTATCCAGATGATACAACTGAAGTAGCTGCCATACAACTATGACTACAAGACAACACGGTCCATATACCCCCAGATTTCAGTGCGAATTGCTACACAGTAACTGTCCCAAGCCATAATGACATTTGAGATATTTTGATTTAACATTAAGTACTGCCTTAAAAGCAAGAGGCAGTTGTCAAATTGCTGCTTTGTGAATCTGCTACAATTTCTGATATGAGCACTGACAGGCACAATCTTGAAACAGGCATACCAGACACATCAGAGAGTCCAACAGAACTGGGTTTGCAGGAATGAAACTACAAAACGCGAGACCAACTCATGGAAACTCACACTAGGTTTGAAAAAAGCATGGCGTTACTCACTGTTTGGGCATGGCTCCAAGACACCTGATAACTAGTTCTCCCAAGAGTTATTAAGCACATGAAACAGCGATAGAACTTTGTCAGAGATTAGAATCGAAATAATTTCATAAGACTGAAAGTTACCATGTTATATTACTCCTCGATTAACACAGTCTGCAAAACCTGTACGGACATTATAATCTTCTGTATCACGCCACAAAGAGCAGTTTCTACATCTTTTTGCATATGCTTGGGGGTTTCATGTACTATCTCTTCAAAACTTTCATCAAGAACGAGCTCACAGTTATCCCTATTTTAAAAAAAGGCAATATGAGAGATAGCATTACTAGGAAATTGATTAGTTCTGGTTTCAAGAAGTTTGGAGTTCAAGCCTCCAAAGTATCTGTTATAAAAGCATTTTTGTACAGTCACATTAAGCTAAGCCCACAAAAAACTATGCCAAATTTCATACTAAAAGCAATTAAAACATACAGTTTTAGATGCTGTTGTACACGGGACAGAGTTTCTTACTGGGCATGCAGTTACCAACCTTTGGTGTACATGTCAAGGGAAGATAGGAGTAGATTTTCCAATATATGCAACATTGCTGGCATGTGACCGAGTCCTGGGGGCACGAGAATCTTAAGAGCGCTCCCAGGTCTGAAAACACTGCGATGGGAAGCGCTTGCCCCACACAGAGCCCCCATACAAACAACGCGCTGGCTGACTGCATCTTGTCCCCATGAGAGTCAGCCGTTTCCAAACACTGCCTGCCAGCACATTTGAATGTTTTCAACCAGTATTCTTAACCTCTAGTCTGTGAAAGAAAAATACAATCTGGCACCTAACTCCTGAAAAGCTGCCAATTTCTGCCTTATGTAATATTAGATACAAGTCAAAAAATTGAACAGCGTATGTAATTTACTAAACAAATGTAATTTCCCCATTGTTCTCTAAAACACTAGTGCCCAAATAATTTGCTATTTTTCCTGAGTCAACTTGCTTCCAACAACATAGCAAAGAATAACATGGAATAGTTTCAGTTCCATCCAAGTCACCTTAGCTGGTCAACTTCATTCAAGTGTAGAGTTACATTTTACAGCTGATATTGAAGTGTAGGATTGATTCCACAAAATGGATGCACCCTATCCTAAAAGCATTCCGAGTTTTCTGTGTATTCTAAAACAGAGGCCTTTTAATAGTTAGCAAAAATACTTATTCCTGCTTTCTTTTCACATGAAAATGGAAATCTAGTGCAAATGTCTTATGACTGTATACTCATGTCAGCTGTTTCTCATAACAGACTTCCCTCCCTCCCCCTTTCACATTCTTCTCTTAAGATACTGACTCAGTCAGCATTCCCTGGTTCTTCACACAGAAGGAACCACCACCATGCAATCACCAACACTTCATTCTACATTTTCTGGTCCATTATTAATGCCTTTATGAATCCAATATTCAGCGTGAAATAAAGGACAGCGGCTATGCACGATGAAAACACACCCTTTTACCATAGCTTATCTGAAGGATATTTTTGACTAACAACTTCTGGTGCTAGAGACCCTCACCCAAAGCGAAAAAGCTAAAAATCTGAGAATATCCAATGGCATATTGCCAGCGTTTAGGTGAAGATGGCAGCCCTAAGGGACAAGCTGCTGCAGAAACACTGGCTCCCTGCATGAAAAGTTCTGGCTTCTCAAATACGTAAGTTACAGCTAAGCTGGGGGTCAATTTTCACAGCTTTTTTCACAGAATGAAAGCCAACATGTTCAAGAAGCTGGTGGTGAGAGTGTAACAGATGTCTCTCTCCTACATTCCTTTTCAATCTGACCTGGATTACCGACAAAACAAAAACAGTTATTTTCCTCTAGCAAAAAAATAAAGTTAACTTTTTTGCTCCTGTTTCCTCATGAGAATAAAGAAATCTGAAATCATCCCCTTCTGTTGGCGCCCTTGCTGAGGACAGTGCACCTTTGAAAGAGAAGCAGGATAACACGTGCTCCCTCTGATAACCAAACAGGTATCTGTAACAACAGTAGCAGAAAATCTCACTTAGAATAAAAAAACTGTCTTAAAAGAGATGAGAGGATGAGAGTATTCACTATTCAGACCAATACTGTCACTTAAACATCTGATACTTTCATAATCAGTTTAGACAAGGCTATTTAAAATTATTGTAATTTCATTAGGATTTTTCCTCTGGTTCGAGAGCAGTTCCCTGAGGCTTAAACTACTTAGCAGTATCTTCAAAGTGTTTCACTTCTAATTAACATGGAAGATACAGATTTAAAATTCTTGAAGTAAAATGTAAATTAAAGGTGGTCTCAAGCAAATACTACTCATCAATTGTAACCAAAATAAGTTTTACAGTAAGTTATTGGTTTGGTGTTTTTTTTTTTGTTAGAAGAAAATCTGAGTCAATTATGAATATGCTAATTTAGGAAGAAATAGAGATATACACTTCAGGTCTTCTGTATGTCCTACCTTAGATTCTGTTCATATATAATTTATGTAAGATAAAATTGTGAATAGAAACCATAAACACAACATAAGTCTTAAAAGTGTGCATTGCTGATGGCTACCACATATTTACTGACTTGCAGAATTCTATGAGCCTTTTGAACAATTTATATTTAATTTTTACCTGTTTGATTAGTGATCGTTTCTTCACAGCCAGGTAAACTGAGGCACAAAAACACAGGAATAAAAGGGACCTCAAATGTTAATGGCTCCAGTCCCCTCCCAATATAGAGGCCCACATCCATAGAAAAACCTGTGCAAAACTCATCAAGCTTTGTAATAAGCTCTGTAATCCCCTGTTACTCCTACTGGAGAAAGGATCCAGACACTTCTAATCCTCTAATGGTCAGAAATCTGTTTTTGATTTCCAGACTAAAGTTACTCATAGCCAGTTTACACTGACCTATGTCAGCACCTTTTAGGTTAAATATGTCTCCGCTTTCTTTGGTGCAACTGCTAGCCCAGCAAACCCAACCTGAAGTTCAAGAATCCAAAACATAAGTAGCACTATTTCCTCCACCAGGAACAGAACATAGTAAATGAGGCTTTACATAGCGCTCCACTCCCCTGAATAAGTTTGCATATGTTGAATATCCAAGTTAAGCATATTGAACTTTAACTGACATATTTACTTGTTCATGTCTTTCATTTATTTTAGCAACTTCACTGTATTTCAAATGCCAAAAATCTGATGCAGGCTGCATTAATAAAACTATGCTAACTGTATTTCTAATTGTAGTTTTAATACTTAGCATGCATAAAATAAACTGGCAGAAGTAACTGCAGCCTATAGCTCTGATGTTTGCCTTTCTTTTTAACCCCAGGTACTTAATCCCCAGTAAAAAGAAAGGCCTGCCTGTTCAGCACATTGGTACTGACCTTTCTGGTGGACCCGAGTTTAGAAAACGAGGAGCACTGAAAGATCCTTGAATTTCTGTGTACAGAAAATGCCACCTATATTCACTGCATTATTAAGGCTTGTATTAGAGATTCCGGGTTACAAGGCTTAGGGTAGAATCTCCCCAAGGCTTAGACAACAGTCACTGTGTACCTAAGCCAATTACTGAGACATTCTTTCTAGCCAGCGGAAAGAAACAAGACACTTCTTAAAAAGCAGCTGATAAACCAAGTTTTGAAGCCCACCTTAGGATGCAAATAATTTTTCTTTAAAATAGCCTATTTCCCTCCAGCGTTGACTTCACAGCTAGACTATGTGCACCTCATTCAGATGGCTAACATCTCCTCCCACGTACAGGCGTTAGGGCGTATCTTATATCACCCCGATTCTTACTAACTTGGTAAGTGATGCCACCCAGAAAACCTGTGGAGTTAAAAGCAACTGACCAGAAAGACCGACAAATAGTTTTGGAGGATGAAGAGATGTAAAGATATACAGCGTTTTTCTAGTAACTCCACCTGCTGACAGAAAGGAATCGAGTGTTCTTGGAAGGAATCACGTTTAGAACTCAACGCAGGAGCAGACAGCCTGATCTGACCACACCACTCAAAACAATTCTAGCTTTTGCTACCTTTTCCACTGCATCTATTTCAAACCTCTAGGCAAGACTTTCAACTTATAAACAGAACTGGTTAATTTAAATTATCTCCACTATGGATCTCTTCAGAGGCCCTCTTGCCAACTGATAAGTTTCTTGTTATTTTGCAGGTAAAATATGCCTGCAATTACACAGTTTGCACTTGAAGAGGCAGAACAGTCTTGCAAGAACAAAGACCAGCATTTCAGCTGGTGACGCTTACAGATGTATTAACATTAAAAAAGTTGTCCATCTCTGGATGGAATGTATTGAGCTCTGCTACGGGCTGCATGATGAGTGTGCCAAGAGCTTATGGGTAAGGATTAAAGGGGAGACTA